ACACCCTGCCTCTACAAAGATGGCCCCCTCCATACAAAAGCACAGTGTCAAACAAAGCAGAGTATATGTGTATTGAAGGGAATATCCGCTCCACAGAGACCACAGGCAATATGGGCAACTAGTCCATTGCAGGGGCGGACTGACCATTTGGAAACTCGGGCACTGCCCGAGGGCCCGGGGTCAGTAGGGGGCCCCATGAGATGCCCCTGGTACCTTTTTCATAGGCTTTTTTGAGTTTGGGCAAGGACACAGGGGCCCCATGATCCACTATTGCCCGGGGGCCCCATGAGTTGTCAATCCGCCCCTGGTCCATTGTCTTCTTACTGTTTTTTTGGGGGGGAGAGTCTGTAATACATGTCCTCTTCAAGGGGTTACCAAAAGTTTGGTAAAAGGTACACCTGTTAATTAAAATAAATGTGAAAACAAAGTGCCGTCTTCAGAAGAACAATGTAACCATAAAAGCTCCAGCTGCCTATGAAGCTGATCGCTGCTGCAATCAGAGGAAACCGCCCGCCGCTTAAAGAACCTTTAGAACCTCCCACTTGTGGGTGTGTCTGTCTCTCCTGTCCCTTCCTGTGCTCAGTGGCACAGCCAGACACTATCATTTAAGCCAGAGGACATCTAGTGGTGGAAAAGCAGTGCTACAGGGGACAGCCCCAGTTTGAAAGTAAGTATGGCAGCAAAAGCTGTTGTGTTTTCTTTTCTAAATAAGCTCTGTGCTCAGTGGACCAAGTTTATGATGCTGATTCAGTGTCCAGTGGCCAAGATGGAGGCAGAGGGGTGACGAAGGAGGCTGGAAAACCTATCTAGGGAATAGGTGTGCCTCCTGCTTGGCTATAATCTGTTTATCACAAGACTGACTGTACTGATCAACATTTCAGTTGGCAGGTAATATAGGTAACGTGTGTATGTGTGTGTGTCTATATATATTTATATACAGTTGTGTTCAAAATAATAGCAGTGTGGTGAAAAAAGTGAATAAAGCTCAAAATCCTTCTAATAGCTTTTATTTCCATACACACAAATGCATTGGGAACACTACACATTCTATTCCAAATCAAAACATGAAGAAAAATAGATCAAATTTGTGTTGTTCCTCTAAACCTCTAAAAAAAAATTTAAGAAAAGTGAATATTAGACTGTTCAAAAAAATCGCAGTGTTTGTATTCTTCTTTACAAACTCAAACATTCACTATATAAACTGAAAAATGTTTGAAGATTTTGCTTTCCTTTGAATCACTTAATGAATATTTGGTTGTAGTCGCACTGTTTCTGAGAACTGCTGTACATCTGTGTTGCATGGAGTCACCCAACTTCTGGCCCCTGTGATCAGGTATTCCAGCCCAGGATGATTGGACTACATTCCACAGTTCTTCTCTATTTCTTGGTTTTGCCTCAGAAACTGCATTTTTGATGTCACCCCACAAGTTTTCTATTGGATTAAGATCCGGGGATTGGGCTGGCCACTCCATAACGTCAATCTTGTTGGTCTGGAACCAAGATGTTGCACGTTTACTGGTGTGTTTGGGGTCGTTGTCTTGTTGGAACACCCATTTCAAGGGCATTTCCTCTTCAGCATAAGGCAGCATGACCTCTTCAAGTATTCTGATGTATTCAAACTGATCCATGATCCCTGGTATGCGATAAATAGGCCCAACACCATAGTATGAGAAACATCCCCATATCATGATGCTTGCACCACCATGCTTCACTGTCTTCACAGTGTACTGTGGCTTGAATTCAGTGTTTGGGGGTCGTCTGACAAACTGTCTCCGGCCACTAGACCCAAAAAGAACAATCTTACTTTCCTCAGTCCACAAAACGTTGCGCCATTTCTCTTTAGGCCAGTCAATGTGCTCTTTGGCAAATTGTAACCTCTTCAGCACGTCTTTTTTCCAACAGTGGGACTTTGCGGGGGCTTCTTGCAGATAGCTTGGCTTCACATAGGCGTCTTCTAATTGTAACAGTCCTCACAGGGAATGTCACACCTTCTTTCATCTTCCTGGAGCTGATTGTTGGCTGAGTCCGCGCCATTTTGGCTATTCTTCTATCCATTCGAATGGTAGTTTTTCGCTTTCTTCCACGTCTTTCAGGTTTTGGTTGCCATTTTAAAGCATTTGCGATCATTTTAGCTGAGCAGCCGATCATTTTCTGCACTTCTTTATATGTTTTCCCCTCTCCAATCAACTTTTTAATTAAGGTACGCTGTTCTGAACAATGTCTGGAACGACCCATTTTCCTCAGAATTTGAGAGAGAAATGCACTGTAACCAGCATGTACAACATTTGCTGCCTTCCTTCCTTAAATAAGGGCAATAATTGGCACCTGATTTTCAAAGAATGAATGACCTCACTAATAGAACTCCACACTGCTATTATTTTGAACATGCCCCTTTCAATTAGTGATTCAATTACACAGAATCAGCAGCATGCATGTCATGACTGTTGGGTCTGTTGGATTTCTATTACTCTACTACACCTGCTAGTAAATTATTTGCCATGTAAAAATATCATTTCTACCAAATACAGTGACTGATCCGGTTAGTGATGTCTGACTGCTATTATTTTGAACACAACTGTATATAAAATCTTTTTTTTTTGTTTGCTGGTCCTGTCATTTAATCTACTGAGCATAGGTAAACTTTGGACCCTTGGCAAGCTGATGGCATTCTTCTGCACTCTGTGATATGTCATATACTGTATCGCTGTAGAGTGGTGTAATGATTAATCATACTGCTAGCAGCCTGATACCTCCTGCCAGCAAAAACATCCATCACATCTTCACCTTTGCAGATTTGCTTTCATAATTCCAGAATTCTAACACAATTCTTCAGCCAGCGGTCCATGTGAAAGTGAAGGCACTTTGCCTTCAACCATGTGCCTTCATCTGAGGTTCTTTCAGAAGAAGAAAAAATGATTTTGAAATGTTAATCAGACCAAGCCCAATGTGGTTTCACGCCATGGATCATGCCCCCCTGTATTCTAGAATTATGGTGGGAGGAAGAACAAACTAAGAACTCTAGCCAATCCCTGGGGAGGTCTGCCCAGTAGGTGACAAAAGAACCCATAAACATCTGGGGCTTGAGACAGGAGCAGCAGAATTTTGAGTCCAATACTGCAGAGGGACATCCAGCGCCAATGTTGGTTCACGCCATGGATCATGGCCCCCTGTATTCTAGAATTATGGTGGGAGGAAGAACAGAGTAAGAACTCTAGCCAATCCCTGGGGAGGTCTGCCCAGTAGGTGACAAAAGAACCCATAAACGTTCAGGGGCCTGAGACAGGAGCAGCAGAATTTTAGGACCAATACTGGTGGGGGAGACCCCTGTGCAGGGGCTCTGCCTCTGGGGCAGAATTACTGGAAATACCATCTAAAAGACATTGAGGTCCCAACTGAAGCTTTAGTTGGGGGGGGGGCTATTTGCAACATCTAGTCCTGGAGTTCAATTGGGTCTGGAGCAGCACACTGGAGAGTAAACAAACTCCGGGTGCAGAGGGACATCCAGCGTCAATGTGGGTTCACGCCATGGATCATGCCCCCCTGTATTCTAGAGGATTCTCATTCTAGAATTATGGTGGGTGGAAGAACAGAGTAAGAACTCTAGCCAATTCCTGGGGAGTTCTGCCCAGTAGGTGACAGCAGAACCCATAAACGGTCTGGGACCTGAGACAGGAGCAGCAGATTTTTGAGTCCAGTACTGCTGGGGGAGACCCTTGTGCAGGGGCTTTCCCTCTGGGGCAGGATTGCTGGAGGCACCATCTAGAAGACATTGATTGAGGTCCCAGCTGAGGCTTCAGGTGGGGGGGGGGGGGGGGGGGCTATTTGCAACATCTAGTTCGATTGGGTCTGGTGCAGCTCATTGGAGAGTAAAACTTGGTGCAGAGGGACATCCAGCTCTAATGTGGGTACATGCCATGTTCCTCTTGAAATGCCCTCCTATGGAAAGGACCCACTGAGTGGAGTGGATAAACCTGCAGTCCTAGATGTGACCTAAACACTGAAATGTGATGCAAAATGTACTGCACACTTTGTGTGTAATCAGTCATTTAATTAGCAATAAACCCTCAGGGTTTTTAACTTAACACATTGAGCAAGATAAAATTTCCCCAGTAAACCATTTGTTAAAATTATTACCCCAGCACTTGCAGTTTACAACTTTCAATGCAGCTACCTACTGCTCTCTCAGTGCCACTTCCCTGGACTTCACAGGAAACAGTGGCTAGTGTAGTCCCCAGCCAGTCTGTTATCTTGGAGAAGGGAAGTGGGGAAGGAGCAGGGAAGTACCTTGCCATCCATTGAGGCAGTGTGTTTCTATTGGTGCACATAGTGTAGAAAGACATAACTCTGGTCCCTGCATACAAGGGGTGGCTCCATAAGATCCTGCAAGAGAAAGGAAACCTGGGAAAGTGGACATGGTACCAGTTGTAAAATGGAACAGAGGCAAGGATAAAAAGATAAAGCAGCAGTAATTGACCAAAAGACATAATGTTTATCTCAAGCGAAAGTAGAACTTAAAGTGGTTGTAAAGCTCAGACATGAAATATGAACACAGCATATCCTTCTATAGTGTGCACTTGTCTCAATTAAGAACACTTAGTGGGGGAATTTACTAAAGCCGGTTCACTCAAAATCTGCTGCAGCTGTGCATGGTAGCCAATCAGCTTCTAACCTCAGCTTGCTCAATAACACCCCAGTCACATCGGGTGCGACTTGGCATGCGATTTGCATGCCATGCGACTTGCAAATCGTATGCCAAGTCGCACCCTATTGTCCGCTATTAGATCGGTCATATCGAGGCGGGTCCGACTTGGTTGGAGCCGCACCGATTTCTAAAGTAGTGCATGAACTACATTTGGTGTGATTTGCATAGACATCTGAGCAGGGGCGGACTGACCATTTGGAAACTCGGGCACTGCCCGAGGGCCCGGGGTCAGTAGGGGGCCCCATGAGATGCCCCTGGTACCTATTTCATAGGCTTTTTTGAGTTTGGGCAAGGACACAGGGGCCCCATGATCCCCTATTGCCCAGGGGCCCCATGAGTTGTCAGTCCTGGGCACTGCCCGAGGGCCTGGGGTCAGTAGGGGGCCCCATGAGATGCCCCTGGTACCTTTTTCATAGGCTTTTTTGAGTTTGGGCAAGGACACAGGGGCCCCATGATCCCCTATTGCCCGGAGGCCCCATGAGTTGTCAGTCCACCCCTGCATCTGTGTCAGATGTCTTGCAAATCGCACCTGAAATTGGGTGGTCCCCCGACTTTGAAACCATGCAACTTCACTGTATGTCACACGATTTCAAAATCAGGCTTGATGGGACTGGGGGCTTAAGTTTTGACAATAGGGCTAGATTCACATCTGTGCAGTTTGCGTTTGATCTATTTCTGTAGTGCGTTTTGCATTTTTGCACATGCGTTTTTTCTTTTTGCTAGACAGATTACAACGAAAAACGCATCAGGAACGCACTACATGCTTTTCTGCAGCATCTCCATTGAAGTCTATAGAAACAAAAATGCGACGTTTTGCGTTTAAAAAAAAAAAAAAGTCCCTGACCCTTTCCAAAAAATGCACTGGGTGAAAATGTGGAGGTGTGAACCTCTCCCATAGATAGTCATGTTAAATGGACTGCTGTGCATTTCTGCAAAATGCTGCAGAAAACGCATAGGTGTGAACCTAGACTTAGACTCTCGTTCCCACTAATGCGTTTTTTAGTGCTTTTTGCAGAAACACACTACAGTCCATTTAACATGGTTTCCTATGGAACACGTTCACATCTATGCTTTTTTGAGCTGCTGCGTTTTTGGAAAGGGTCAGGGACTTTTTTAAAAGCAAAAGCAGCGTTTTTGCTACAATAGATTTCAATGGAGAATCTGCTGAAATGCATGGTAGTGCGTTTTTTGCCACGTTTTTCATTTAAAAAGAAATTCCACTTTATAAAAAAAAAGCTGAACGCATCAAAAATACATGTAGAAAAACGCGTAACAAACTACAAAAAGCACTGCAAAATGGACAAAACGCAAACTGCATAGGTGTGAACGGGGCCTTAAACCTGGAAGCTGATTGGTTACCATGCATAAGTGCATATGATTTTGCACTATCCAGCTTTAGTAAAACCCCTAAGTGACAGGTTTTCCTGACACCAACAGGAAAAAAGGTGACAGTGGAGGGAGCTCCAACACACATCCGGTGATTGACAGCCTCAGCTCTGTTCCTCTGTGAAGGACGGGGGATGTCCCTTCCCTTCCTTCCAACAATTGGAGCTCTCCTCACTGAGCTCTGCAGTGTGTAATTTGAGCTCCCACCCCGTGTTCTGAAAGCTCAGGCAAGCTTTATAAATTTTGGAGTTTGAACGGATGTAGAGAAGACTGCAGATAAATAGGTACAACTTATGTAGGAGGATTTGTTTCCTCTCTGTGTATCACCTGAGGCCAATCACTTCACTGGGTATATGTAAGAGTTTATGACCACTTTAAGGCAGGGGCGGACTGACAACTCATGGGGCCCCCAGGCAATAGGGGATCATGGGGCCCCTGTGTCCTTGCCCAAACTCAAAAAAGCCTATGAAAAAGGTACCAGGGGCATCTCATGGGGCCCCCTACTGACCCCCGGGCCCTCGAAATGGTCAGTCCGCCCCTGCTTTAAGGCAAACATTTTCTTTGTCATCTGTGTCCCATTGAGGAGATTTGTCTTTACAATCAAGCAAGTATGGCTGCAGGTACAAAAGAAGGCTTGTTGGGAGATGTACATTGTCTTGCAGCAGTATGCTGGGACTTTTAGTTCCACAGCACTCCTGCCATTGTTGGATCTCTAGTGGTACACATGCGCTCAGCCAGGGGCGGACTGACAACTCATGGGGCCCCCGGGCAATAGGGGATCATAGGGCCCCTGTGTCCTTGCCCAAACTCAAAAAAGCCTATGAAAAAGGTACCAGGGGCATCTCATGGGGCCCCCTACTGACGAGTTTCCAAATGGTCAGTCCACCCCTGGGCTCAGCCACCACCCAGCTCCTCTGGGTTCAGCCGGTTTCCCTGGCTTCTTCGGCTTTAGTGGTGGGCGATCTCCTCCCTCAGATCCTTCTCATTAGCCTCCAGCATATGCCTGTGATCCTTGTTTACACCTAATGACAGATGATGGGAATCCGTCACGCCGGATGACAGTTACTTGGGCTGAAGTCACAATAAGGATGAAATATGAGATCTGCCTAGAATCAGAAGTAACTAAATGCTATAGGGACCCGCTACTAAGTCTTGTGATTAATAATAAACATTTTAAAATACCTTCTTCAGACTCCCCCCCCCCCCCCCCCCCCCCCCCATTTGCTTTTCCACTTTTATTAGCTGTGCATTCTTAAAGGGTCAGTCCACCCAAAGCAGATAATCAGTGATTGGTAGATACTGGAGCAGACCTTATTTATGAACAAAGTATATCTCTCTATAGTTTGTACTTGGCTCATTCCAGGGCACTAAGGGGGTTATTTACTAAAGCTGGAAAGTGCAAAATCGGGTGCAGCTCTACACAGAAACCAATCCGCTTCCAGGTTATATTGTCAAAGCTTTATTAACCACTTCCAGTCCGGACACTTTTACCCCCTTCCTGTCCAGGCCAATTTTCAGCTTTCAGTGCTATCACACTTTGAATGACAATTGCGCGGTCATGCAACACTGTACCCATATGTATTTTTTTAGCATTTTTTTGAGACAGATAAAGGTTTATTTTGGGGGTATTTATTCACCACTTGGATTTTTTGCTATGTAAATGAAAATGTCCAAAAATTTTGAAAAAAAAGTGTTTTTCTTATAAAATTTTGCAAATAAATAATATTTCATCATAAATCTTGGCCAAAATGTATTCCGTTATCTTTTTAGTAAAAAAAGAAAATAACCCAAATTAGTTTATAACCAAAAATTATAATTTTTAAACATTTGTTTTTTACATTTTTATATTATTATTTATGGGGTTTTTTTACATACTGTCACCCTAGCAGTACAGTGTCACCATGGTGACACTGTACTACTTGTGGGGGGTGATGAAAGATTTTTTTTTTCTTCCTTATCTATGGGGGCACCTGTGGTTGCACCCTCCCAAGCCGGACTGTGTGTATCCATAGACACACATAGCGGCTGTAAACCATGCTCCCTTCTCACGAGTTCGACTGACAGCAGCAGGAGTCTATTGCTCCCATTGCTCTTAGTGTCTCCTGTGAGAACAGGGGTGAGGGGAGCAGCCAGGACAGTGCTGGATCAATGACAGGAGCCAGGTAAGTGTTTAGGGATGGGGGAAGCTAGAACAGGTAGTGGGGTGTTTTGTACCCTAATGCAGAGAATAAATAAAGGTTAAAAAAAAGTTTGAATTTAGAACCACTTTGTCATTTAAAGCTGAATTCCAGATATTTATTTTAGGTACTATCAATTTACACAGCACTTTACATATATATTGTACATTCACATCAGTCCCTAACCCTCAAGGGGTGTACAATCTAAGGTCCCTAACTCACATTCATACATACACATACTAGGGACAATTTAGACAGGAGCCAATTAACCTGCCAGCATGTCTTTGGTTTGGAGTATGGGAGGAAACCCACACAGGCACAGGGAGAACATGCACACTCCAGGCAGGTGGTGCCGTGGTTGGGATTCAAACCAATGACCCCAGTACTGCCAGGCAGAAGTGCTAACTACTGTGCTGATCTGGATTTTTTTTTTCAACAGTGGAGGTCACTTGCTTGGCACCGGCGCCATTCACATAGGTGGCGATCATGACATCACCACCTTTCCACGCAGCTCCTCCATTCATAGAAGCCATTACTTCAGCTTCTATGAATGAAACATGATCTGTGAATGGAGGATGGGTGGAAGATTGAAAGTGGGAGTGACCTCATCACGGCCAGGCCAATCAAGTCTGAACCCGGAAGGAAGACCTGGGAAAGATGGAGGCACCTCTGACAGCCAGGAGCACTGACACCACTATGCTGGAGGGGTTCACCTGCCATCATGTGTTCATATGCTGTGCATACCAGTACATTATTGGTATTCACCTCCTGGGGTCCGTATTGTCATTTGTTTAATTTTGCTGTAAAGTAGCATTAAGTCTGAAGCCAAAATATATTAAATGGCAGCTGACCAATTCTATGGTGGCTGCATTAGATTTCTTTTTTTCTGTTTTGTTTTTCTTTATCTTCAGCTGCAACAGGAAGAAGGGTCAGCCGCACACCGGTGGATAGATGAATATAGTGAATATTTATTGATCCATAGGACATACACAACACCAGGACATGAATACAGGACCTGTTAATGCGTTTCACACGATCTTGTGCTTAATCACAACAAAGAAAACAACAAAAGTATCTTCAGCTGGTGATCCTGCCAGTAGGTCTGTTATTTTTCAGCTTCCTTTAACAGATCAAGCTGATCTGTTATTAATGATCAATGATCAGCTATAATTTATATATGTTTATATAAAACCTTTATCCCAAAAGGAAAAAAAAAAACTGTTGCTGCATCTGTTTAATATCTTCCCTTCTGGCTCATGCTGATATACGGCAAAAGGGGAGCGTTGCCAATGTGGGGGGGATGTTTCCAAACCCCGCATCCATTGCCCCATGCGTGCTACCTAGGAGCATGAGGCTCCGTGATCTGTGCCTGCCAGGGGCAGACTGACAACTCATGGGGCCCCTGGGCAATAGGGGATCATGGGGCCCCTGTGTCCTTGCCCAAACTCAAAAAAGCCTATGAAAAAGGTACCAGGGGCATCTCATGGAGCCCCCTACTGACCCCAGGCCCTCGGGCAGTGCCCAAATTTCCAAATGGTCAGTCCGCCCCTGGTGCCCGCTGTGTCCATTGGACACAGCAGAACACAGATGGATGTTAGGGTCCACTGTGTGAGGTCCCGATTCATGTGATTGTCCAACAAGATGTCACTTCCTGACACCATTGCTTACTACTTGTGAAATCTGTGAATGATCACAGAGGTCACATGGTACAAGGCCATTCACAAAAGTGTTGTGCCATATGACAAGCTGTGACCAATCCCAGCTCTCACAGTATTTCTCAATGGCTGCAGGAATGCAGCCAGAGAGGAGACATTATTGCTTTTACAGATCATTACCACCACCCACAAGTAGTACAGTGTCACTATGGTGTATGTTAAAAAAAAACATAAATAATAATATAAAAAAATAAAATAAG